TACTTATGTTCTTCTAGAACATTCTATTGCAAACACATTGGTACAAAAATGAAATATGTACATCGAAAATTAACGTCAGGACAGTAACAAGAGTATACACTTTTTAATATTGTCGCTCAATCGCCCGAAATGCCTCGCGCACAAGGGGAAAGTTTTTTCCATTCTTCGGAGCGCGAAAGTGTTAAAAGGATCCAAGCCAAAGACAGCCCCCACCTCCAAAGAAGATGTCCCAGATCCCCAGCAGGAAGCATCAGCTCAACTGTCTATGGTGCTGAAATGGAAGAGGCAATCTCCAGAGAAGGCCAAGCAACACCCACAATGAAATTCAACCTGGACTCCGAGACCCACAGACACCTCAGAACCTGAAGCAAGAGAGGGAGTAAAAGGTGTCTGCACAGTGAAGGTAGATGAGCAATGGAAGGAGACGCAGTAAAAGGCAAACCAGTAGAAACACCGCCCACCAAACACATGATGAAACTACGACATTGATACAACATTCGAACAAGGTTTAACACCTAACAATTGTAACAATCAATATAGAAAGTTGCAACAACATTCTAATATGTCATAAAGAAGTTATAACAAGATGTAACAACCTTATTACAAGTTGTAACAAGGGAATCATAGGGACCATTACATTGTGTGTTTGTAGGGCATCTGCTCCAACTACAAAACCCTAAAAATTAAAAAGGCCACCTCTGCAGCAACAACAAAAGCTGTGATGATGGCTTGTTGGGCTTACCATGGCCTGAAGGAATATCCAGGCAGAATACATAGGCACTAGGGATACTCACCAAAAGAACTAAAGTAGAACATAAACTCTAAAGTAGAGAATAAACTTTGCTGCAAAGGATGTTAGTGACGTACCATATAGACAAGAACGTGAACCCTAGTGCATCCCATAGCAAAACTCCCCAACTAATAGGCCTTGCAGAGGAGTCAAAAACTTTTGCACTGCCCAGGGCAAGGCACCCTACACAGTAGTATGACCTCTCAAGGCAAACTCATGCTACTTGCTAGAGAAGTCACTCAGTCAGGCAGGGGCAACTCCAAAATGAGAGATAAGGAAAGAGCTGTCCTAAACACATGCAGCTCAAGGTGAAGAATAAACCAAGTCCACACAATGAGTAGTGGCTTGAAAAACACTTGTGAAGCTAAAACCATGCTAGAACCAATACACAAGGCAAATAGACCCTACAGGACAGCGTCTAATAGATGACCCATACTTATCATAAAAAACTCACCAAAGCTGGTGATTCAGGGAGGTCTGCATTTAAGAACATAAGAATAAAGGTAACTACAGAAGGCCTATTGACTCATACGAAGCAGCTCCTATTTATACCCACCCAATCCCACTCATATACATGGCCAACCTTGAAACAATCAAGGGACCCAACCTCCACCACGATACGTGGTAATTGGTAACACAAATCAAGAACCCTGTTACTGAAACAGTATTTACCCAGGTCTTTCCTAAATCTAAACTTATCCAATTTATACCCATTGTTTCATGTTCTGTCTTGTGTTGATATGTTGATACTTTTAATACCTATTAATATTCCCTTTGTTATATACATTCATCCACTTGTATACCTCTATCATGTCATCCCTAACTCTTCACCTTTCCAGAGAATGTAATTTAAGCTTTATCAATCTTTCTTCACATGACAGGTTTCTAATTTGCATACGTTAGTGACAGGACTGAGGAATAAGATGGCATAAAAGTCAGACTCTTTCAGTTGTGTTGCCACCTGATGGAAGCCAGTCATAACTAAGGAGGTTTGACCTAAGTCTTTGAGTGAATCATCTGGCTGTTTCAGTGCTTTGCTTTCTGTTAACATTGCCATTATCTATACTGCATTGCTTACTTTGTGGAAGATTCTAACAATCTCCCCTGCTCCTTGTGGCTCTGTAAAGGGGGGAGCCAAGTTCTCGATCTGGTTCCTGGTAAGCTATACAATACTCCTAGGGCTGATGTGACTAAGTTTGAGGGAGCTATCTCTGCTTCATAAAGCCACTGTTGGGCTCCTCTAGAAATTGATCAATTTAACACATTTTACAATAATCACAAAAACAAATGATTTACAGAGGAAATATTAAATTTGAAGCAGGTCTCAAAATATTTTACATCACCATATATCATTATTATATTGCCATTTGTCTGAAGCAAATGTATAATAGAACACATAATGATATTTAATGCAGAATATTTAAATATTTTGTATTCAAAGACACAAAATATTAAGAGTTATTTAAGATTATCTATAACTAAATATTTTTGGAAGAATTCAATCATTAAAAATTTTTCCTTAAAAGGAATTGTATAGAAGTTATGACTTAATGCATTATGTGGAGCTTTTCTTTTAAAATGACTTAAACTGCTAATATATAACTCCTAAGAAGTTAACATAGGCTTTCTTTAACAAGAAGTTAAAGAAAGTACCATGCCCTTAACATAATTGGTACAGCAGACACCAGTTAATTTAGTACATTGTAAGTAAAGTATATTTACCATTTTTTCACGATTCATAAATTAATACAATATTGCTTTAAAATTAAGAAACCTATTGAAGTGTACAACAGGTTTTATTTAATACCTGTATAGCAAACGTACACTGTCAGCATCACATATATCAGCTTCTACAGCAACTTCTCAGTTGTTCTCATATGATAACTCATATGCAGGAGTTATCAATACAAATATATGTCAAGTGAAAATAAGTGGCACTGATGTGCCACTTTGACCTGAGGCTTAATTATTAAGAAATAGCATGAGCCCTAATGAATAGGATTAAATACCAATAAAAACACTGAGTTCACCTCACAGGAGCCATCAAAAAAGTCTTAATAAAATAAATGAAATTGCACTGCATTTGCATCACAAAAGAATGGTTTACCACTGAATGTTGGCTGGAAAGCTTTTGTGAGCAGTTGAAGTAGAGAATGTTTATGACATACTACAAGGCCTTTAAACAGTAAAGTCTCTAGTGTGCCTCCACCTGGATTATTGCATACAGGCATGGAGACCTCACCTCCATTAAGACATAGTTGCTCTGGAGAAGGTGCAACACTGGGCTACAAAAATCATACCAGAGCTTAGTCATCTCTCGTATCAGGGGCAGTTGAGGACCACAGGGCTAACAACACTGCAGACAAGGCATTACAAGGCAGATATAATAGAAACCTTCAAAATACTAAACAATTTGGATGATGTCGATCTGGACACGTTCTTCAAAAGGTCAAATGTGACACGAACGAGGAGCAACGAGTTCAAGCTCAACAAGCCACACTGTAGGACAGAAAACAGGAGATGCTTTTTCACCTATAGGGTTGTTAACCCGTGGAACCGCCTTCCCGCAAAAGCTGTAAACTCCAAAACTCTGATGGGTTTTAAAATGCAGATAGAAAAGATCATCTGGGCAAATGGGGGGGACCCCTTGACAAGCCACCAGTTTCCTGTCCTTGTCGAGGCCACTAGGATTAGTGGCCTTCAGGTAAAGTCAACTCTCTAAAATTTGTAAAGAACTGCATCAAAATTAGCTTGGTAAATGCTCATTTTAGCAGTTTTAAACTGCAAATAAGTAGCATTAATCATTTTCTATTACTTCTAGTGAGGGAGGGAGTTGATAGGACAAAATTTAGAAAAGCCTATCTGTGTATTACCATTAGTAATCAATAAACTAATTCACAGTTAACTAATTTATGGTAAGCCCAAGTACCAAACACTTGAATTAACAGGTGTCTATTGTATTAATACAAATTATTTATATTATTACCAAAAAATACTGATTATGAATTACTGGATTATAAAAAATAATTAACCAGAAAAATACTCAACTGCAATAAACACTCCTTAGTTTAAAATTTGTTGTGTGAGAAGCCCACGGACTAACAAAAGCCAGCTTTACAATCCAGTGCAGCAGTCACATGCATTTACCACATTCCCTTCCATAGAAAAGTTTATTTTGTGACTGGTGAAACACATCACATTCACATTATCTTAGCATTTAACTGTGCAATATATAATTTACATATCATTCATGAATACTATAAATTTTTGCTATTATACAATAGTGTACTCATTACTCTAAATGTGATTTTACATAAATATTAACTAGGTAAATTATTAATTTCTCACCAAATACTTTATGCTCATATCAATAAATTAAAAGCAAACAATTCTTTACTCATTCTTATTCAATTATTCCTCTATCATTGCAAAGTACATTCCTGTATATACAGCTGTTCATGCAGCCCGCACCTGACACCAGGCTCCTCCCCATAAGTTTACTCTACGGGAAGAAACATGCCAATCCACCTTTACCTTATCCTACGCTCTTTTTCATCTACTTTTACTTTACAATGAGAAACATGCCAGTCCATAATGCTTTTTTCTCGCTCCTGTCTAGGCATTGCTATATTTATGAGCTATTCTAAAAATATTACTAGCCTGCAAAACATTCATTACTGCCTATGGTTCTATGTTTACAGTGTTTTGGACAGCATATACAAAGTATATATTATACAGATTCAAGATTTACATTTGGAAATTTATCTAATATTAAATCTAATTATGTACCTGTAAGCAAGTTTATTTAAGGATATTAAACACTATACAAGCTCAGCGAGACTCCAGGCAACAGAAATGCAAATACAGGTATTGGAAAAAAAATTTAAGTGACATCACAAGTGGAATGGCCCTCAGACATAGTTTTTCACAGCTCATAATGTATAAAATACCAAAGGATTCTGAGCCTTTCATAAAATAAGGTCTAAAGCCATCATCGCTTGAAGAGTCACAAAGAGGCGGATACTGTATTTGGAAGAGCATTCAGGACATGCCACTCTGTGCAATTTTAACCCTCTGAGGGATAGCATTTTTACTCCTGGAAAGGATAATGCATTAAACTGTTTATTAAAGACATGTTCATGGGAAAGGGCAGGGCATCACCATGGCAACTAGAGGATCAGAGGGAGGGAACCTGAGGGTACACAAATACCTGGTGGTGAGGTCGCGGCTGCCACACAGTACGGGGGAGGGAAGAGAAGGGGAGAACAAATGTTAGTCAACCGCGTCATGGCGGAAACATGTATAAGAGGCGGGGTATCTACTGTGTATTTACAGTGTTGCCAAGGATGACAGTAGAAAGAGATATTTGATTATTATCCCAAATATATAAACTAAAAATGAAAAGACGTCTTATTCTTTAAGTGATGGCAATTTGATTTACAAGCATTCATAGGAAGCAAAGACCTCATTGGATATAATTTATCTAAAATTAATGTCCAAAGAACTGTATTGAAAGAGGTAAATAGTGGAAACAATTTAATACATTGGCAACACTGAATAAAATTATTGTGGAGAATCAAAGGTCACTCAACTGACAATTATTATTAATCAATGCAGAAGTAAAAGAGAGGGAGACAAAAGTTTTTTTATAACCAGATCAAAATAGTTTAAGTGAAAGTTAATAAAATTATCAATGATAAATTAACTGGTATATAGAAAGACAAAGAGGACACAAAATAAAGAAATTAAATCACAGACAGGTAACTTAAAAAATGCATTTTTTCAAAATACCAAACAATAAAAGAAAATCAACAAACATAAATGGAAATGCAGATACAATAACTCACCAAGACAACTACTGAAGGAAGGATAGAATATGCGGCAACATAACTGATAAGATATTTTGAACATTCCTGATACCATTATAGTGATATACTGCATATTATATACACACTAATAATGTTTTATGTACACACTAAGACAGCTGAGAGCCTAGATAATGTACACATCAACAGACAGCATGGCATATTATGACACAACCATTTACAATTATTTCTTGTCAATTCTACAGTACAGTCCACCACTGAAACATTGATAGGCGTGTAAAAACATAACAAAAATTCATAAATTAATCTACAAAACATTGGCATATGTACTGTCTTGCACTATGCAGCTAAATCAAACTTTATTTTCTGGAAAAATAAGTATATATTTTCTTGCACTATATGTCTAAAATCAAATTTCTTAAAATGTGAATTGCATTTCAACGGTCAGAATTCTACTTACAGACGCCTTGTAAGGTTTGGAAAATATCACAATAAATGGCAAGCAGCTAAGAACTTCAAAATTCATAATAGTATAGAAGATTTGGGAGTATAGCTAGAGAAAGAAGAGATATATAACTAATTAACTAATCATTTGAAAATACAATAAAAATAGTCAAATGTCAAGAGTAGGTTTTGGAGGAAAGAGGTTTTATTTATGTTATTTAAGTGTTTTACACAGAGTAATAAATTCAACACTACTATTATCTTGCATGAATACAACAATGAAATTAGGACGGAGCTCTAGCAAGATATATGAAAATCTAGAAAAAAATATTATGGGCTTCGTAAACTGTAGGAATCTTGTTATTTAGACTACTGCATTTATATAATGGATTAAAATGCACGTCCAGTGAATGAACACTTAAAAAGTAAACTGGCTTTGATTTTATAATAAGAATCGAGAAAAATAGACTACAATAACTATTTGGGGGGAATATTACCAAGCCTCCAAACATTTGATTATTCTTAATATAAAAAATTTCATTATATTTCAAAGATAAGAAATACTGAACATGGCAAAATCTTTAAATTACAGAGGCTTATTACAAAATTCAAGTACAGTACAGGTAAATAATTATGAGAAAAATCATTATATAGAAAGTTGTTTATAGCTAGGGCTATAAATAATTGTTGTGTATTATAGTATTTCACAAAACAAAGATGCCTGTTATGTATATATACTGATAATATTACAATTCTATTTATGTTACTGTAGAGCAACAATATGTAGTTTCTTTTCACAAATTACGAAACACTACTCTCTTCATTCCACAGGATGAAAATAAGTCACTGTTTAATGAAACAAACAATCCATCTAAATGTATGACAAGTTTCAGTAGAATTGTATTTCAACTGATTAGCATTTGATCTATTTACCAATAAATATACCTTGAATATCACTTGCAGCTTCAGTAAAATGTCTCCTCTCTGTGATCTTGTGACATGCTTTCTGTTAGTGTTGTCTGTGATATACATCTATCATCAAAATAAACCAAGCAAAATAAAACTATACTGTACATTATTGAGCTTGTGGGTGCAGATGTAGCTATTAAATAATTTATATTTTTTTTATGAAATATAGTGGTACCTCCACTTACGAATTTAATCTGTTCTCAGAGACGGGTCGTAACTCGAAAATTTGTCACTCAGAACAAATTTTCCCATAAGAAATAATGTAAATTGAATTAATCCATTCAATACCCCCAAAAATATTAACTTGAAAATACCTTTTATACCGAATGCCACTCTTTTTGTATTAGCTACAATATAGTATGTATATCTTACCTTTATTGAGAACTCTTGTCCTCAATAAAGGACAAGAGTCCTTTCAATATATGGAAGACAGCGAGGAAGAGGGGAGGAGGAAAGGTGTTACTGTTTGGAAGGGGAGTCCCCTTTACATTATAGCATCAGGCAGTGATGACATCTTAGGGGTACACTCTGTCCTACATTTTGCAGGCATACCACTAGGACCTGGTTGTGGCTCACAGTTTGCTTGTCTTACTAAGAATCTGTCTAAAGACACATTTTTTCCCCTACATTTTAACACTTGTCTGTAGTGAGACATAACATTGTCATTTAAAAAGTCACTGCAATGGCCTGCTACAGCTTTATCTGGGTAAGTTTTTTCAACAAAACTTTGCAGTTCTTCCCATACTTCACACATTTTCTTAATGAGGAAGGGACATCCTCTACTGCCTCTATTCACAACTATTTTCTTAGGTTGAACCTTATCCCTGACTTTATTGGGACCCAAGGCATGATATATATAATAATTACTTTTATGTTAAAAAAAAAGCAAAAAAAAAATGAAATTCTTTACAAGCGCGATCATCACTAAGTGGGCGGCTCTGGTAAACTGAGGCGGGGTCGCCCGTGCCACCAGGAACCACTCACTTGGTTGATCCATACATGTATCAGCAGTCCCTAGTCAAGGCAAAGTTCGTAAGTTTAGTCACATTTTTTGACGAAATTGGGGTCTTACAGTAACTCAAAAAATTTGTAAGTAGGGGCAGTCATAAGTCAAGGTGCCACTGTATAATGCTATTAGTTATTACAACAAAATAATTATTGAAATGTGAAATTTACAAATTCACTTCTCATAATTTTGTTTGTCAGTACTTCTACTACTGCAGCTGATGACTCTATTATTCATTTTTACATGTGACTGAAGCTGCATTCCTCTCCGATGAATTGGAATTTTCTTCTTGGTAAGTAAGGTTTTAAAACTGCTTTAAAATTATATAAATTATATTAAGATTAAAAAAAGTTTATTAGATCACAACCAATAAGTTATACTGAGAATACATGATGCTAACATGAAAATATATTGTTGATTCTCTCTATATGCCTGTCATCCTGTTCCTAATGTGTCATCTACTATTTGATTCACTAAGAGAATATCATTTTAGAAAATTTAAAAAGACTTTCAATGGACGAGTTCCTTCTAAGGTCTATGGATGAATTCCTTCTATGATATATGGATGAATTCCTTCTATGGTATATGGATGAGTTCCTTCTATAGTATGCTCTCCTGGCAAGCATTTACATATAAACTTTGTTTTTTCCTTTAACCACTGCACTGCGCAAAGCGCCTTTAGGCGCTCAGAGAGTTGTGCTTTTTGTTTTTTAATTTGGCTATATTTTAATGTTTTTTAATGTTTTCATTACTATTTGTGTTTTGAAATGGAAATATTTGACTTTGGAAACATTTTGACATTAAATTTACCTGAACATTTGTAAAAATAACAAAAATATGTCCTTGTCAATTGCACCAAGACGTTTTTGCCGAAAATAGGTGAGCAGTGCAAGGGTTAATAACCAGCATACTTTACAACTGCTCATTTCTTCTCCATTTCTTTATGCAAGACATACAGTACATGTAAAAAATTTGGGTTCTGACATAAATATCCAGTAAATGTTATACTGTACCATAATTATCTAAATTCTGTATATACACTGGATACAGAAAGCATATCACTCAAACTCTGAGTGATTATAAGAAAACATAAGTGCTGTATGAGCAGTGTATGATATGCTACATTGATGACAAATGGAAAAAGAAAGCCATGAACATAATCACAATTGACTGGAACTGACACACACTGTTTATAAGGTCATGATTCTCACATTCATATTAACAACAAACATCTCAAATGTCAGCACCATTAGTGCTATTAATTTTATTGTACTAGAGTAAAGAGAGAGAGGCCGTGCATGTTAATACCGAAAGACAGAAATATTGTATAAATGGTAACCCTGAATTCTTCTATATATTTAAGTAAACTAACTTATATTTAATCCATTTAGCTATTTTAATAAACAATAAGAAGTAAAAAATAACAAAGGGACATGAAGAGAGTCAGTGAGATTGAAAGTAGAAATAAATATACAATATATGAAATATAAATACAGAATATAAAATCTCCAAACATAAATAGAGTAGAGTTATCCAACATTATACAGACGTAAGTAAGACATGACAGACATCAACACATTCACACAGTGAATGTAAATGACAAAAACTTATAAAATCAACTCACTTGAAAGAAAATGAGATGAGAGAGACGGCCACAACCAATAGATCTAAGCCGTTGAAAGCAGAACGAAGAAAGGCGCCTTTATGTAGGATGAAGCCATATGACACAACTTTCAGGAAGATTTCAACTGTAAACACTGATGTGAAGAAGATGTCGAAGTAGTTTAAGATCTGAAAATATACCAATCAGTTATGAACTAGCAGAATCATTTACAAAATACTGTACAGTATCTGATGACTGTTTATTTACATTACTGAATTTTTAATTTCTCGATATTGGAAACAAACTGAAACAAAAACAACACTCAAAATGTCAGGAAATTATTGAAGTTCAACCCTATAAATATCCAGATAATGTTTAAAATTTGCAACTTCATTTAAAATCCAAGCACCATCTTGCCAAATAGGCTGCTTTGTCCCAGTAACTGCTTCTATTATGTAATATGGTTCAACAGACATTGGTTTGGATAAGATATAAATTCAATCAATAACCTTAACCCCATGCAGTGCACATAGTGTTTTAATTCCTGGGTTGTACAGCAATTAATAGCTGACAAAGCCCTGGTGTTCAAGAAAAAAAAAAACAAGAGTTGAATGCAATGAAACTCCAGTTTCTGGGTGAGCACCAGAGGCCCAGTGTTGTATATTCATACTGATATAGTGCTATATTAGTTGGAGTCATCAGTCACTGACTTCTTGATGCCAACCGAGAACCAGAGCCAGAACCTAGGCCATTGCTCCCTCTGAGAGGCACAGAGGGAAATAGCCTATGAGCACTTTAAAGCTTTATAACACTTTACCACTGAACTGCACCACCCGACATTACTCACAGTAGGCATTGCGCAAGACGAGGAAACCTGATTTAAGATATTGTAGGATTCAAAATGCGCACGTGGTGGCGTGGGTACAAGATGGACGTCTGGGACCTCCAGTGAGAGGCGGCCATCTTGAAAAGAATTCCCAGCATGCTCTAGGGCTGCTGGCTGGCTCAGGTCTGAGTGAGCCACTTCCCTTAGCACATTTTTTCACTTTCCTTGGTATCACGTGTTGATACATGAATGTCTTCAAAATGAGGATTACAAATATGCCTGTCCAAATGTCCTCTGTTCTTGCCTCGTAGACCTCTCAGTCTATTGCCTTAAAGTTAAAGTCCCTCATTACCAACAATCGGGATTTATCTTTGTCTGCTCTTACCATAATCTCTCTCATGACCATTATGAGGCCCTCTCTTTTGTCATCCAGTTCTTCCTTTGTCCATGTGTTGCTTGCTGGTGGACTGTAAGCATTTAAAATTATCAGCTTATCATCCTCATTCCAGACCTGCAATGTCATTATGTCAATATCTCGAGGGTTTTCAATTATTAACTCTCTTACCTTCAGGTGTTCTTTCACTAGTCATCACTCTTCACTTTCCATACCTCATTTTCTTTCACTAGTTCCCTGATTTGTTCCTCCTGATTTGTTACCTTGTCTGTTAATGCAGTAATAATCTTACCTTGCTGAAGAATACTTCCTTTTAAGAATGCAAAGCTCACTCCTAAGAGCTCCATTGTCCTCTTCCAATTTAAGCACTTTTTCTTCATACTTCTTTTGAATATCGTCAATTACTGTATCTCTAACCTGCCAAGAAAACCTCCTTTCCTTATATCTTGTGATAAGAATCCTTTGAAACAATCATCTGTTGGTGTGTTTACATTCCCCATGGTGGTGGTGGCCATCTTTGTTATTGACAATAGTTTGTTCTAGAAAACAAACTTTTCTAACTCAGCTATTTTCACTCACTTTCACTTCTTTATTGTATCTTATCTGCTTTAAACTTCCCTCAGTCTTTATGTAACCTGTAGCCCTCAACCTGTCAATACAAGTAATTCAATATTCCAGGAGCTTGCTGCAGTGTGACTCCTGCCTCCTCTTGCTAGAGGTGGTGTGTGTGTGCCACATGATGAGCCTGTAAGAACGGTTGCAACTACAGGGCACAGATATCTGTGTGTCCCCTCCTGTAGCAGCATCAGTTTCGATAGATTCTCTGGATAGCTGAAGATTGACACACATGACTCCGACAGGTGGCATTTGTGGTGGTGTGCGAGCCAGGAGTAACACAAGAGTAATGGGGCTGCATGCACCTAGGGCCACCTTCCCATAGGTGCCCTGTAAGTACTGCCCTTGCAGTTTAGGGTTACCTACCATGAACCGCTTTGGAGGCTACTTCTGTGTGGTTCTTTTTAATGCTCGGTGATTGCCTGCCCTTGGGGTTCAGCTGGGGTTGTTCTTACCCCTGTTTTACCTTGGGTAGGAGGTAGTTTTGTCACTGGGTGGGGCACAAGGTACTGTGCAGCTGTCTGATATAAGCAAAGAGATAGGTTCTGATCTCCTGGAAACGTTGTGCTTTTGTGGGGGTTTTGTTTTGTTTTGTTTTGCATGGTGGTGGTCTGCCTGGTGTGGCTGTAGGGCCACCCTCTGCTAGGTCCCCTTGCTTGCACATGTCACAGGGGTTCAGCTTTTGTTTGTTTGCTCGGTAGCTCTGAGATAACCGGGTAGTAGTAGCTTGCCTGGGCTTTTCTTAGCAGCCAGCCTAAGGGCCTTGGAATCCCCCATTGGGGCTCATTGCTTTGAGGAAGGAGACTTCTGAGTCCCACCTTGCTTTGTGCGAGTTTGAAGGTTGCTCTGTCCCCTTGTCTCAGGGTGACACCATTTTTGCCTCCGCCAGGCTGCCTGTTGGGTCAATGACATCTTTGACCTAGAGTCCTGCGAGTGGTGTTCCTTGCTTGTATTCCAATTTACTCAGTCCACTGATATTGATATTCAGGTGCAGGCAGCTTCGGCACTGCATGCGAGGTTTAGGTTACTGCAACGTGCTAGGTTGGTTGTCTTTCTGGATGCTGTGTGGCTGCCCCGCTTTGGTTATATGGACCCACTCTTAAGGGAGTTAGTTGCCTCGACTTTGGTTTTGTCTGCGCCCCCTTGTCCTTTTCCTGCTGTGGTTCATCCTGCTTCATTCCCCCCTCCTGCTCCTGGCTCCCATACGTCTGAGGGTTTCATAATTGGGGCAGGATTTTTTTGGTGGTGAGACTCGGGCAGCTTTGGGGACTGCCCCATCTGGATAAGCGGTGGAGGCATTCAAGCCTGTTCCTCCTGCCAGGGCTTTTGGGTCATGCCAGCAGGTCCCCCTTCATCCCGGATTTTCTGGTGAATCCACCACATAGCTTCGAACCCTCATCACTGCTTCTACAGATTTTCTCATTGGTACAGTCACGTTAGTGTGATTACTCTATGTGTATTGAAAGAGGAGCATCAGAAGTAGAACAAGTCCTAGATGACAGAGCCAGTGTGCATGGGGGGATTATGTAAAAATCCTGTTCTGGCTTTTGTAGAAGTTTCAGGAAATCCTTGTGTGTGTTTTCTGCAGAACTCCAAGTTTCAATGCTTATACAGTACCATGTTTTGGTCTAGTTGCTAGAAGCGTGTGCATGGGAACATCCACCGCATAGGTTCGAACACTCATCACTGCTTCTACAGATTTTCTCATTATTATTACAGGTATTATTATTATTATTATTATTATTATTATTATTATTATTATTATTATTATTATTATTATTATTTTATTATTATTATTATTATTATTATTTCAACCAGGAGGTTGAAATCGGCATCTCCTGACATTGGCATCTCCGATTCCAAACTGGAAGTCGTTCACGACTTCGTGTACCTGGGCTCCACAATCTCTGATTCCCTCTCTCTTGATACGGAGCTAAACCAACGCATCGGTAAGGCATCTACTACCATGTCCAGACTGACAAAGAGAGTGTGGGCCAACAATAGGCTAACTGAGTATACTAAGATTCAGGTTTACAGAGCCTGTGTCCCAAGCACTCTCCTTTATGGCAGTGAGTCTTGGACACTCCGTGCTTGTCAGGAAAGACAGCTGAATGCCTACCATATGCGCTGCCTTCGACACATCTTGGACATCACCTGGCAGGACAAGGTGACAAACAACAGCGTCTTGGGGAGAGCAAGAATCACCAGCATGTACACAATGCTGAAACAGAGACGAATGCGCTGGCTAGGGCACGTTGTGTGAATGGGCGACGGCAGGATCCCAAGGATCTCCTGTACGGAGAGCTGATGCAGGGAAAGCGTCCAACAGGCAAACCCCAGCTACGGTACAAAGACGTATGCAAGAGGGACCTGAAAGCCATGGACGTCGATCTTGCTATATGGGAGACACTGGCTGCAGACCGTTCAGCCTGGGGGCAGTCTGTTCAAAGAGGTCTCTCTAAGTTCGAGGAGTCACTTGCCAAGGAATCGGAGGCAAAGAGACAGAGAAGGAAAGCCGGTAACCAGGAAGACAGACCAGAAATGGACTTCGTTTGTGCTCGGTGTGGGATGGACTGCCACTCTCGGATTGGCCTCATCAGTCACACCAGACGCTGCACCAGGATTGACAACTAGGGCGCAACTCCATAGTCTCCTGAGACTGAAGGAAGCCTACTAATATTATTATTATTATTATTATTATTATTATTATTATTATTATTATTATTAAAAGCTCAGAAGGGCATTAATTTTCTATGGAATGTCACCTGATGACTATCTCTAGAGTAGATTGAATAATTTTACTAATGACTCAGAACTAATAATCAGAACTTTTAAAATTTCTGCATTGCACTGCTATATCAGCATTACCATCCCTGTATGACTACAGGACCTGATGTATATGGACACAATGGGATTTTACATGATATATATATATATATATATATATATATATATATATATATATATATATATATATATATATATATTTATTTATTTTAAGAAAGATGGCAAGTTCAAGACGTAGTAATAGCTTACGGTATTGCGTTGAGAATCAGAGCGAAGAGGATCCTCAGCAGCCAACATGCCAGATGAGATGAGAATGCAGACAAGAATAACATTACTGAAGAGACTGTGGTTGCACACAGCATGGCAGAAAACACGGAACCTGTTAAAATCAGATAAGCCCTTTATAACTTTTATAAAGAAGTAACTGATTATTCTCTGCTGGCTCGTAAATGTTAATGCATATTTTTAAAATTGTAGATATGTGCATTAAGTAATAAAATATATAACACTTTTAATCCAGGAATCTTAACTATAAGTGTATTTTGAGTTTTAATTTTCTTTTAATCAAATAATCTTAACTATATATGTAGTTTGAGTTTTCCAGAAATGTATTTACTAAAATATAAATTAATTTTTTAAACACCTTCCTACTCCCAGCCAGAACATAATTTTGTTGACATTTGTTGTACCATATGAGAGAAACAAATCATATGGCTAAAATTGAAACAGCTAAAATTGAAGAAAGAACACAAAGAGGCAAACTCAGGATATGATGCTATCAACCTGTTAAACCAAACAATTGAAATCATTATAAATTATATGATTCTGTTAAGCACCTTCATTGTAAGGTGACACATTTATATTAAGTGCTGAAATGTTATTACTGGGCAAAGAAATCAATAAATTAGAACTACAAAGATTAGAATATACTACTGTACCTATTTTTTCTATTCTAATAAAATACTTAAATTACATATTATATATTATTTTATCATCAAATTATTTTACTTAATATCCTTAGCAATTATATGTAAAGCCTATTTCCCTATTTACTAATGTCATTACTATCATTAATAAACTATTGTCTATGTAATAAAATCATAAAATAGGCAAACTTTAAAAATTACTACAAACACTACCCTGATCTGAATAGGATAAGAAGTGTGCACTGTACATTGATTAAACAAAATTAAATCCTTTGATGATTGCATCCACTGATGTGGCTGAACAATGGATATACAACTCTGGGCCATCACCAGACTGCCAGCTCTGAATATCTACCACATGATTTACTGTTCAAATGGTTTTGTAAACTCTCAATGTATCATAGTCTTTTATTAGTTTGATCTCTGATGACGTATTTCTATGGTTACATCAAGTTAATCATCAAATTATATTATTTAACATTATAACAAATATCTAATTATCAATTACTGAACTTTCAGTGCCATGTCAGGTTGAAAAACTGATGACCATGATCTTTTAGGATATCCTATTGCTTTACCCTATGGTTGCACATCCCAACAGGTGATGGGATGGCTAATTATTTTCCTTTGCCTGATTTACCTGAGGGCCACTAACACTAGTGGCCTTAACAAGGACAGAAAGGTGGCAGCTTGTCGAAGATCCTGCCATTTGCCTTAATGATCCTTTCCAGATGGATTTTAAAACCAAACAGAATTTTGGCATTTGTTAATTCAGCGAGTAAGCAGTTCCATGGGTTTATGACCCTGTGGGTTTAAAAAGCATCTCCTGTTCTCAGTCCTACATTGAGGTTTGTTGAGCTTGAAACTGTTGCTCCTTGTTTGAGTTACATTTGACCTTTTGAAGAAATTGTTAGGATCAACATTCTCCAACTTGTTCAGTATTTGAAAAGTTTCAATGAGATCTGCCCTGTCATGTCTGGTTTAAAGTGTTGTTAGGTCTGTGGCCCTAGACCATTCCTGATACGAGAGATGACTTTGCTCTGGAATGACTTTGTTGCCATGTGTTGCACTTTCTAAATAGCAGCTTTGTCCTTCTGAAGATGAGGTCTCCATGCTTGGATATAGAAATCCAAATGGGGTGTACCAGAGATATATATACAGCTGAACTACAACCTTCTCTTCCTTGAAGTCAAAGGTACACTTGATTATTCCTAGGGTTTGGTTAGCTTTTCTGACTGCTGCTCCTACCTTTTGTGCAACTTTTAGTGAGTGATGAATTTTTTACTCCTTTTCTTCATCAATCTGCAGAAATGTAAGGGCATTGATTTGGTAGTTATGGTGTGGGTTGCTATGCCCCACATGCAAGGTCTTGCATTTGTCGACATTATGACGATATATTTGCCAATCTTCTGACCAATTGTAGAGTTCTTTGTAAGGCTTCATTATCATTTCCCATTTTACTATAAATCTATGTGACATCTGCAAATTTCATGATGTGGTTTAACTTATATGACAAAAAGGGTTGGCCCCAAAATGGACCCGTGGTATCCACTTGCCACATTTCTCCATTCAGATTTGTTCCCATGTAGCACTACCATTTGCTTTCTTTGTTTCAACCCTTTTTTATTCATCCTAGTATTGTACCATTTATTCCATAGGCCTATATTTTCCTTGCCAGTCTTTCATGTGGTACCATAACAAAGGCTTTAGCAAAATCCATGTATACAACATTCACCAGAAGGCCTTTGTACGAGTAGCTCATTACCATTTAAAGAAAATGTGAGCAGGTTCCTGCTCACATTTACCTGAATTTACCTGAATTTTTCCTGATGGCCACTAATACTAGTGGCCTCAACGGGGACAGGAAGCCGGCGGCTTGTCAAATATTGACAAAGATCATTTTCCCTGATGATCTTTCTCAGCTGTATTTTAAAACCCAGCAGAGTTTTGGCATGTATGGCTTCAGGAGGTAGGCAGTTCCCCGGTTTTACAACCCTATGGGTGTAAAGCATCGTGCGTTTTCAGTCCTACATGGTTGCTTGTTTAGCTGGAACTCGTTGCTCCTCGTTCTTGCTACATCTGACCTTTTGAAGAAATTGTCCAGATCAACATCCTCCCAATTGTTCAATATTTTAAAGGTTTCCATGAGATCCACCCTGTCATGCCTGGTTTTCAGTGTTGTTAGCCCTCAACTGTTCCTGACATGAGAGATGACTAAGCTCTGGGATGATTTTTGTTGCCCAGTGTTGCTCCCTCTCCAGTGCAGTTATGTCTTTCTGAAGATGAGGTCTTTATGCCTAGAGATCTCATCCACACCCATGTTTGTGTGTGGGTGAGTGTAGGATATGGCAAGTGTGGGGTTGTGGTGGGTGTGGGTGTGTATAGGGATGTATGGGTACTTTTGTGGAGGGCAAATGAGCAATTCACAACCATTTTCTTGACCAGTCCTTATAAAGACTGCTGGTGGTGGCTGTGACTGTTCTGGAAGGATGGGCGAGGATGGGAGGGCAAGGATGAGGGCATGGCATGGGTAGGAGGGGAAGCATTGGGTATTTGTGAGGATTAGGTGGTTGGTGATGGAGGCAGAGAGGAAAGGAGGGAGTCAGGCAGGGAAGGAGGGAGGGAAGAAAGAAGCCAGAGTGGGTGGGTGGAAGGGAGGGTGGGTGGACAGGCAGGCAAGAAAGAAGGCTGGAGTGGATGTGGGGGTGTCTGGATTGGGTGTGGAGGGTGTCTGTGGTGGGTGTGGGGATATCTGGAGTGAGTGTGGGTATCTAGAGTGGGTGTGGGGAGTCTCTGAATGTGGTTGTGGGTTTGGTGGGTGTCAGGTTTGAGTGAGGTGGGTGTTTGAATGTCATGTGCCTACCTGCCTCCCACTCCATGCCTGCCCACCTGCCTGCCTGCCTCCCACTCCATGCCTGCCTGCCTGCCTCCCACTCAATGCCTGCCTGCCTGCCTCCCACTCCATGCCTGCTTGCCTGCCTCCCACTCCATGCCTGCCTGCCTGCCTCCCACTCCATGCCTGCCTGCCTGCCTCCCACTCCATGCCTGCCTGCCTGCCTCCCACTCCATGCCTGCCCACCTGCCTGCCTGCCTCCCACTCCATGCCTGCCTGCCTGCCTCCCACTCCATGCCTGCCTGCCTGCCTGCCAGCCAGCCAGATAGCCTGCCACCCAGCCAGCCAGCGAGTTAGCCAGTTATCCATTTATTCATCCAGCCAACCAATATGTACATCCACTTACCAGCCAGCCAGCTAACCACCCAGCAAGCTACACACTAATTATAGTGTGTGGAAATAAAATTATGTTGGTTGTGGTACAAAAATTATGAATATATTCACTTTTGGACTTCACCGGTAAAAATTCTTCTTATCCATGTGTCGGGCTAATAGGGCAAGGGGAGGGACTTCTCATATAATTTGTATGAGCGATCTTATACAGTGTGTATATATATATATATATATATATATATATTGCATATAGTCCTGGGTACCATTCAGGCTTGTTTGCATATATATATGTGTGTGTATATATGTTGTACCTAGTAGCCAGAATGCACTTCTCAGCCTACTATGCAAGGCCCGATTTGCCTAATAAGCCAAGTTTTCATGAATTAATTGTTTTTTGACTACCTGACCTACTTAACCTAACCTAACCTAACTTTTTTGGCTACCTAACCTAACCTAACCTATAAAGATAGGTTAGGTTAGGTTAGGTAGGGTTGGTTAGGTTCGGTCATATATCTATATTAATTTTAACTCCAATAAAAAAAATTGACCTCATACATAATGAAATGGGTAGCTTTATCATTTCATAAGAAAAAAATTAGAGAAAATATATATATTCAACATATATATTTTCTCTAAGAGAAAATATATAAATTCAACATATATATATATATATATATATATATATATATATATATATATATATATATATATATATATATATATATATATATATATATATATATATATATATAGTATATATATATATATATATATATATATATATATATATATATATATATATATATATATATATATATATATATATATATATATATATATATGTAATTACCTAAGTGTAGTTACAGGATGAGAGCTACGCTCGTGGTGTCCCGTCTTCCCAGCACTCTGTCATATAACGCTTTGAAACTACTGACGGTCTTGGCCTCCACCACCTTCTCACTTAACTTGTTCCAACCGTCTACCACTCTATTTGCGAAGGTGAATTTTCTTATATTTCTTCGGCATCTGTGTTTAGCTAGTTTAAATCTATGACCTCTTGTTCTTGAAATTCCAGGTCTCGGGAAGTCTTCCCTGTCGATTTTATCAATTCCTGTTACTATTTTGTATGTAGTGATCATATCACCTCTTTTTCTTCTGTCTTCTAGTTTTGGCATATTTAATGCTTCTAACCTCTCCTCGTAGCTCTTGCCCTTCAGTTCTGGGAGC